AGAAAGATCATCGAAGCGGTAGTAGAGCGCGCCTTTCCCGGCCATTGGTTCTGCGGCTGGTGTGACAAATTCCATGCCTGGGCCGCAGAAGATGGGCCAAAGAACCAGCAATATTCAAGAAAGAGGAGGGATTGTGCCGACTTCAACAGCTACTTGGACGCTGGAGACGGGTACAAACTTCGCTTTCATCACGTTCGACTTGCCATTAACCGCGCATCGCGGGGAGACGAACACGGCATTCCCCTATCTGCGTTTACTTACGAGAAGAAAGATATGGCACGCATTTCCAGAACGCCTGTTCCGACTAAACTCACCGTATCCGCCAGGATAGTCAACGGCCGATTCCTGTTGCACAGTTCTTATGCCATTGTCCTACCCGCCTTTACGACGCGTAATCGCAACCTTCTAAAGACGCTATGGCCTCTCCTCCCACACATCGTCACAGGCCACCGCGATACGCCGAACGGCCACACAGGTATCATGGCCGCCATCGACAACGTCATCCGCCGAGGCTGGAAGTACCAGTTCACACAGAACTGCTCCACTTGTGCGACAGATTGGAGCGTGACGAGCCAAGACTTCTCGCACGCTACAGGCGGACAGGTCAGGTTGGTGGTGCAGAGTTGGCGGGATCTGGGTACGGGCAGGACGCCGTTCGAGACGGGGTGGAGAGCGCATGGCGTCGGAAGCTGTGCTGAGGGGAGTGGGGCTAACACTTGTCTCGTGAGACTTACGAGCCGACCTGCGGGATCTGTTAGACGGGCGTTTGAGGCTGCGGATGTGGACGAGGGAAAGAAAGAAGTTACTCACACTGGGGCTGTGGCGGCTAGCACCGCACCTAAGTCGCGCATCTATCGGTCCTTCATGAGGAGGAATACTTCGGAAGAAGGGCCCGATGAGATCAGACGGTCCAGTGCAAGACCGAGGTATTGGCGGACGAGAGAAGAGAACGAAGCAGTGGCTCGGAAGTACGCTGAAGATACACGAGATGTTGCGAGAGATGTTGCTGAAGAGTTGATTCGGTTAGATGCTCGTCGTGGTAACAGAGCTTTCTAGACGTTCTTTTGGTTTTCCAAGTTTATTTAGCTTTGTTTGCGTACCGGCGATTGCTTTGGTCGCGGGAGCTTGCTGAGTACAACGCGTGGGTTTAGATATACATATATCGGAGTTGGGCAATATACTATATACCAGGCAATATGCCGATACCATGAAAAAATCTTGATCAGAGGAGAAACTGCAGGCGAAGAAGCTCCTAAAGACAGAGAACAGTTCGAAGTGATTGTCTGGTACCTAGGTACTTCGATGTCTCGAGGTGCGGGGAATACGCTAGCCTTCTTGAGGTCTAGGCCTCCAGACCCTTCCTGCCAATTCGGGGGTTGTCCAACCTCCAAACACCATCGCAACCTTTCTCCTTACTGACTTACTAGATACTTCTCACCTGCGATACACGTCGGAATAAGGTACGTAGGTGACAACATACGAATTGCCCAAGTCTCTGAACTTCACGAAGACTCTGGAGCATACCTAGGTACGCGACCAATCTATGCTTCCGGACCCACGTATCTCACTCTCAGTTTCAAGCAGAGTGATGTAGATTCGGTACCAGCAAAGCATGTCCATTGAACTGCGCGTTTCGTGTCCCTGGGCCGTGTTGTGAGGTCACGCTGTCACGATGATTGCGGCTCAATGTGTTATACCCGGTCGCAGTATATGACAGCGCACCTGATTCGCTAAGCCCTGGAAAACTGCCGCCCACCTGGATCACAACCCTCATGGACCTGTGATCGTCGAATACCGGTGCGGAGTTCATATCGAGTGGCCGGAACGTATATTGCATGTTGCTGGAAGATTAGGCTGAACCTCGGATCTCATGCACAACAAACCAACTGGGAAAACAGCATCTACATCTTTTACTGTGCAACGCTACTTGGGGAATTGTCATAACCCACAGTTCAAACAACGCGTTGATGGTCTCTTGTCACAAGCTTTGCTTGTCAACGACCTAGCAGGCGGACAAATTCATGGCGAACCTTGGAATGTTCCGGTCTTGGCGAGCGGGCACCCCTGGACCTCAATCTATTCTGCACTAGCAGTTCGACCGAGAAATCCGGTCGATGCCACTCTGCTAAGACTCAGGGCGACTTGATTAAGCTCTAAGATCCATAGCCAATTGTGTAAGGGGTCTCGTCCCGTCCGCTCCGGAAGCTTCGTTTTGCTTACAGGGTTCGGCGCTTCAACTCGGTACCTGCATTCCACCACGAAAGAACACCTGATGAAACTGCCTCAATGCTTCTGATACATTTCATCGTGGAGAAACATACTCGCTGAACAGACGCTGTAGATACCGCTCGTACGACGGCATGTCAAGCAGCGTCAGTCATGATCATTTACTACAACAATAAAACTAGAGCAGCAGAATGAGGAGGGGCACAATGAAAAACACATGACTGCGTGATTGTGCCGCTCGTAGCGACGTACGTATGTCCGTCTTCTTTCTTCTTATTGGATTTCAGGCCCAAACCATTACCCGGGGAAAAGATCTGAGCCTCATGACCTCTGCTACAGATTAAGTATGCCCCCCAAGTCCGGAAAATCTTTCTAGAAGAATCTCTCGTATATGCCCATGGATCATGGAAAAAGCAATCTATTCTTACCGGGTTTTGAGCTCGCCGAGTGCAATTGCACAACAACGCGATATGGCCCTGAGCTGTACCCAAGGTACAACTCTACTGGAGTATACATCGTCGCCTAATTTTACGCTGCAAAAGGCAGCATGATGAATCCCCCTGGATGGTATGTGCACATGAGGTCACTCGTGACCCAGCCACAGCACTGTGTGCAAATATCAACAACACGGCTACAGGTGCTGATCCACGGCTTTGCCTTCTCACATACGAGGCTGACCCATCACTGTCAAATCAGACGGAAGGCTAAGACTTGGCCACCAGTGAAGCCGACGGTTGATAGTACGTCTCCATATGCTTCTCCATTCGTCACTCCTTCCACTATCTCTTTAAGGCAAAGATCCCGGGCGTGGTGGCGCACAGATCTCCGCAATACCCCAGACTACCCCACGATGCGGCGCAACAGGGCATGCCTCATCTATACTTCATTACTCTGGCACTCCTAGCGTCCTTTTGCGCTCCCGATGTTCCGTTCCTCTCACAACATTGGTGAGAACAGCATGGAGGGACATCAAGGGTGTAGATCTCCTGCACCTTGCAATAATCAACAGTCATATGGGTACTTCTGCAGAGTACTTTGATTAGTAGCCATGAGCTCAGGAATGTTGTATAAGAAGGCCAGCCCATCGCCCAAACACTTTCGACATCCAACAACAGACCTTCACTCAAGAAGCCAAAATGTACAGGACACTCGCCCTCACTTCGCTCTCGCTCTTCGGAGCCGCCCGCGCTCAGCAGGCTGGCACATCGACAGCAGAGACACACCCCAAGTTGACATGGCAGACTTGCACTGGTACCGGTGGAAACAGCTGCACCACCAAGCAGGGTTCCATTACGCTCGATGCCAACTGGCGCTGGTCTCATGTCACCAATGGATACACCAACTGCTACGACGGCAACTCCTGGAACACGACCGCCTGCCCTGATGGCAGCACTTGCACCAAGAACTGCGCTATCGACGGTGCTGACTACTCTGGTACGTTAACATGTCCACGACACAACATGTGAAGCCCTTAGCTAACGATTGTAGGCACCTACGGTATCAAGACCAGCAGCAACTCTTTGAGCCTCCAGTTCGTCACAAAGGGCTCTTACGCTGCCAACATTGGTTCTCGCACCTACCTCATGGAGAGCGACACCAAATACCAGATGTTCAACCTCATCGGCAAGGAGTTCACCTTCGACGTCGACGTCTCCAAGCTCCCCTGCGGTCTGAACGGAGCTCTCTACTTTGTCGAGATGGCCGCCGACGGTGGCATCAACAAGGGCAACAACAAGGCCGGTGCCAAGTACGGAACCGGATACTGCGACTCGCAGTGCCCCCACGACATCAAGTTCATCAACGGCGTAGCCAACGTCGAGGGCTGGAACCCATCCGACGCCGACCCCAACGCCGGCTCCGGCAAGATCGGTGCCTGCTGCCCCGAGATGGACATCTGGGAGGCCAACTCCATCTCCACAGCCTACACTCCCCATCCCTGCAAGGGTACCGGTCTCCAGGAGTGCACCGACGAAGTCAGCTGCGGCGACGGCGACAACCGCTACGGCGGACTCTGCGACAAGGACGGCTGCGACTTCAACAGCTACCGCATGGGCGTCAAGGACTTCTACGGCCCCGGCATGACTCTCGACACCACCAAGAAGATGACCGTCGTCACCCAGTTCATCGGCTCCGGCTCCAGCCTCTCTGAGATCAAGCGCTTCTACATCCAGGGCGGAAAGGTCTTCAGCAACTCCGACTCCGCTATCGAGGGCGTCTCTGGTAACTCCATCACCGAGTCCTTCTGTGAAGCGCAGAAGACTACTTTCGGTGACACAAACTCTTTCAAGACTCTTGGTGGACTTAACGGGATGGGTGCTTCGCTTGCTCGCGGACACGTCCTTGTTATGTCCCTCTGGGATGACCATGCGGTCAACATGCTCTGGCTTGACTCTACCTACCCTACCGATGCTAGCCCTGACAAGCTTGGTGCTGCCCGTGGTACTTGCGCTACCGACTCTGGCAAGCCTGAGGATGTTGAGGCTAACTCGCCTGGCGCTACTGTTGTCTTCTCCAACATCAAGTTCGGTCCTATTGGCTCTACCTTCGCTCAGCCCGCATAAGCGCTCGATGGGGTTGTTGGATAAGATGCTGGAAAGGGGCTGGGGCTCGGTACTGTAAGAGCTCGTGGAATCCTCCTGGCTGTCCTCTCGCTTGGCTTCGCAAATGTATATACTTGTGGTGGATCTAGAAGTGTGCATATAGAGACAAATTGACTGCATTCGTTATGATAGACGCATCTACTGTGAGATTCGTTTGTGTACTTCAATGACTTCCTAATCCTCGTTCGCCAAATCCCTCACTCGCTCTCTGTAGCTCTCAAAGCTCTTGTTGCAATCTTTGATCTTGTCGAGGTAGCCTTTGACCTCGCGGGTGCGGTAAACCGACCAACTCCGAAGTCTTGCATTCTCTGCTCTCAGCTTAGTAACCTCGTCGTTGACTGATGTGATCTGAGACTCCATATCTTTGATGCTTTCTTTCAGGCTCTCTTTCTCTTGTCGCAGTATGCGTATCTCCTTGTTTGTCGCCTTGAGCGCAGCAGCATGTTCGGTGTTCTGATGCTCTGCTGCCTGTCGAAGTTGGGTGATAGTTTGTTCATGCGTACGGGTGCGCTCAGCAAGTTCGTTCCGGAGGTGGTCGTTATCGTCTTGAAGCCGCTTGTAGCCCTGAGCGAAGGAATCCAGACTGGCAATATCCTATGTTTCCATCTTAGAATGATAAATTCGTACGCGTATGGATACGGCGTACGTACAGGTATGAAGCGGTCCTGCGCAATTTCGTCGTGCGGATCATGCATTGCCTCTTCGCGTTTGAGTGCCATGTTGTTGATGACTGATTGAAGATTTTGGCGGTATCGTTCAGTGACAAGAAGTGAGATTGACGGACTGAGTCTCACCAGATAGTGTTGTTGGTGGAATTTGATTAAGCCGAATGAGTTGACGAAGAGGCAAATGCTCCTATCACCGGTGAAGGTGAGGGCATCGCTAAAATCCCGTGCATCTTTGCAGTACACACCAGTGAGAGGGCAATCTGGGAGACACTGTAGTCGGTGACAGTGGAAGCCACCAGCAGACATCTAACGACCCCGCGGCCCAAATATACTACATTTTCATATCAACCCATAAAAGAACCTAGCTCTTGCAGCCTCATTCTCCATATTACGACCCTGTTTCCATTCCCCCCGCTCACGTTTCGCCATCTCAGCCAAAGACATTCCAAGTCCAAGTCCCAGATACTCGTCGTACATGAACGGAAAATCGTACTTTTTGACAATCTTAACGTCTCCATTAGCATCATCAACAGCATACCTTTTTTGCCGCAGCACCCTGTGTATACGGACATTCGGTGAGATTATCTTGGGTGAAATTTCCTCGTCGATGTAGTGCCGCTCGTCCTGTTCGAATTTTGGGTGAACCATGGGCAGAGTGACAGTAACATCAAGGTTGGGATGATTGCTTAGTTGTGTAAGGAGAGAGGAGAGGGTCGAGCGCTCGTTGACCACGGCCCAGAATTGGGGCTCAGTGTGGTCTAGCCACAAGTCCAGCTTCTTCAGAGCTTTGAACCAGCTGAGACTGGGACCCAATCGCTGCCACTGACTTGCTTGCTGAGTCGCCAAGTCTGTATCCGAGGACGTGGAGTCGTTGTTTGAGAGTCGCTCCACTGACTGGAAGAACTTCAACGGAAGCTTGAGCGTAATACTCAGTCGACTGACATTTTCCACCGGCATTTTTGCGAATTGAGAAGGTGATGAGATAGCCATCTCTGATGCTCTTGCCCAATTATCAATCAAGTTCAAGTCTGAGACATGGACAGTTGAAGTATGAGCAAGGAGATCGTACACTTCATTGCGACTAGTGATATAAGCGCATGCCAACCAAATATCTCGATACACTTACACGCTCTTACAAACATAGAGGAGACTGGGATTTTCTGCACCTTCAGACAACGACGTGTGTTCCTCGCACGACCAGTGAAGACCCCAGGCTGACTGTAGACGGCGGGCGTACACGGGTGTGCTGACTTGTTTTCGCCAAGTTGAGTCGGTCCATTGAATAGCGTAATCCCATGGGTGGACATCGAATTGGCTGAAGGCCCGAGCGCGCTGAACACACGCAGATACACAGAAGTTGCCATCGTGGAGGCGTACGTGGACCTCGGTAGGCAGCAGGTATGAGTAGATCTCATGCCGGAGTTCTGTAGGTAGGCATAGCAGTGCGCTCTGGGGTTGCGGCATATCGACGTGAGAGGCTCGAGTAGCGTATCTTAACAGGTTGGAGGTCTGGAGTGATGGATGGCTTGTAGATGCGAAGATTGTGATGAACCCTCCACCTAGGCAGGGACCTCGGGAGCCGGCACAACGATGTCTAACCAGAAGAGGCTAGTGATGATAAGGAAGGAAGGAAGGAAGGAAGGAAGGAGTGTGTTACTCGTTCGTTGAACGTCTATGAGTCATTGAAGGACACCAGCCTCACATGCTGGCGAAAGAGAGAAGGAGTGATTTTTGCGAACCTAAGCAGCCTTCAAGATCTAGCGAACGATCAGTTCTCATATATTCTTACCTACCCACACATAGACCAAGGTCCCGTAAGACCATCAGCATCACACCACAAACCCATGAACATACCATTCACAGCCATCCATAACAAAAAAAAAAGATACAATTGCCTACCCTCGGCTACTCAGCCATCATCGCATAGTTTATCGAGCGTCTAGCCCAACCAGATCCAAGCTCACAAAAGAAAAAGGGTGTCGCATCCCTCGTCCCCCACTAGCATATATACAGTTTCCGTGGTGTTGCTGTAAGACTACTCCCTCATGTCTAGGGTCTTTGTTGACTTGCTGAAGGTGTTTGTCGTTTACTCCTTCTTGACGGTGTCGGGGTCTGCGAGGATGCCCTCGGCTTCGAGTCTTCGGCGTGCTTCTTCTAGGGCCCAGGTTTGGATGCTGGTGGGGTGTTAGCCTTTGTACGATCAATATATCGCTGCAGTGCTCCTCCTGTCGCTCCATTCGTGCTCATTCCCGTTATCCTTTTGTGACCCCTCCCTCCCTCCCTGTCCACCTCTCCCCCCATCCACACCATCCCCATCCCCATCCCCATCCATCCCCCCAACCCAAAATTCACATATACATACCTAGTATCCGGCTTAAAAGCATAAGCCACAACCCCAAACGCACACGCACCCCCAAAACCCCAATACATAGCATTCTCCCACCCCTCCTTCTCATACTGCTCGCCAGGCTTAACGCCAAAGAGCCATCCGGACGGGGGGTCGTAGCTGGGTCCGTGACCCGATCGCTTCGTTTGTGACAGTGAGAAGGCTCGGCGGGGAGCTGCTGTGCGAGCCGAAGCGGTGAGGGCGGTGCGCGAGGCGCGGGTCGCGGCGCGGACGGAGTTCATGGTGGTCTGCAGGCTCGCGGATCGAGGGCTGAGGTAGACGTAGAGTGGTTTGGTTTGGTCCCGGCGTAGGGGCAGCGGGTTGTGATGGGGGCTGATAGGTGCTAGTTGTGTCGTCGTCAAGGTGAGGTTCCGCGTTCCCTGCGATTGCTTGGCGTGGCGGCGGCTAGTGGCGCCGGAGCGAAGGAGCAATAGGACGTCGGACTTCTCTGTCTTTCGCGCTCAAGCCCAAGGGGTCTTTTCGCGAGGGTATCTTAGTCGTGTACATTAGAAAGGGGGAGATAATTAGTAATAGTAGTTTGCTAGGCTGTTTATCTAAAGTAGTTATCTTTATACATACCTATAGTAGCTAAGAAAAACTTACAATAAATGCGCAATAAGTTATTGCGATAGCTTTTAAGGTAGAGATAGCTTATACTGCAGAACCAGAGTCGAAGACGTCGGACTGCTCCAGGGCTTACAGGGAGTAATGTCAAAAATCAAATTGCAACAAACAGAGCATGTTTCATAGAGAGACTACAGAGTTACTGTAATGTAGAAGTGTAACATCTCTCTCAAAATGATGACTATGTAGTGTACCATCAGTACCCAGGTAACTGATCTGTGGTATAAGAGCCCGTAACGCCGATGCTATGCAGATAAACCATTTAAACGCAAAAAAATCAAAGCATGCCTAGGCATAAGCAGGTGTACGCTTCTCCTCCTCAGGATCTTCCATCTCATCATCCGGCTGATGGAAAGACATCCTCGCCATGCTCTGAGACGCCTCATCGACCTGTTCCTCCGTTCTGCCCGCGTCAACAGCCTCCTTCTGCCGTTGCTCCTCGTCTGCAGCTTCCTTCTCCTTGCGCTTCTTCTCTACTGCCTCAAGCTCCGCCAGCCTTGCAGCAGTCCTCTCGGCCTCTTCCTTCTCGCGCTTCTCGCGATCCGCCTTCTCAAGTGCTTCGAACTCGTCGTCGATCTCGCCTTCATCCAGAGGCTGGTCGGTCTCATTGATGATGTTCGTGATTTCTTCCGTGGTCGCCATTTGTTCGTTGACGGCATCGACGACACCCTGAACGCCTTCTGCACCGCCAACCTTCTCATTGAGACCTTTGAGGGCCGCTGCACCAGCCCGCATGGCCTCCACGATCTCGACCTGATCGGCGGCTTGTTGTAGATCGGTGTAGACTTGCTCGAGCTGGAGGGCGACATCGGAACGTTGAGCGAGGGCGTTTTCGGCGAGCTTCTTGGAGCGCAGTGCAGCTTTGGCGCGGACCATTTGCTTCGCAACTACGGCTTCTCGCGCGGCTGCATCAGCCAAAGCAATCTTCTCCATCAATGGCGGTATTTGCGCATTGATATTCGCTAGTGTGTCGCGAAGATTGGCAATAGCGGCGTCTTCTTCTGTGACAGGCAGGGGGACAGCCTCATGTTCTGGCTTGAACTTGATTGTCTGATCGTTGTGAGATATCGCTTGCTTATCTCGGGCGAGGAAGACGAGGAGTATATCGAGGTCGTTCGTCGTGAGCGGTGCAGTTGGATTTAGTATAGTCGCGAAACGCTTCAAGAAGTCTGTCTTCGATAGTACTCGATCAGCCGTAGATACGTGCTCCTTCATCTTCTTGAGTATCTCATCCGCAGCAACTTCGACATTTTTGACGACGACGAAGTTCCCCACCTCCATCTTGGCCGGCGCGCGTACCTGCCCCAGTACCCCAACCTGCCGCAAGCTCCACTGAAGCACCTGCCATGGCGAGGGTATCCACGATGTCTTGTATATGCTCTCTTTTGACGACATGAAGTCCTTCAGAGGTACCATCTCCTTCTTTTGTACTGCTTCATGGAAGACGGCCGGTAGACAGGTAGGCTTGCCATATTGCGGATGTTGCAAGGCTCGCGCGAGCTCGTCGGCAGCTCGTATGTTCAGGAGATCGTGGGTGGTGCCCTGTCTCGGGATGACGCCCGCGCGTGAGGCGTCGACGAGGGCTTTTGTCCATGCAGCGGTGTTCGCATGGTAGCCTTCGGGGTTTATCTCGAGCTGCTGCCGAAAGTCTGCATAGAGCGATGCGAGGCGATGCTGGCTGTGCTAGTCAGCAATGCAGGGTGTCGCCGATATATGGGTGGTCTTACTTCTTGAAGGCATCTTCATGTTGCAGAACGAAATCTAGCAGTTCACTCATGTCGCGCTCTGGCTCGGGTACCCACTGCGCCCTGTTGTGCTGGGAGCGGAAGAGCGAGCGCTTCCGCTTATGACGACTAAGCGTGGGGTCGCTGCTAAAGATGGAGACGTGGGGGCCGCCGCTGGGGACCAGGTCGCGCGAGGGCTTGCGTTTAAGCATGTGCGCAGTCAAAAACAGCCAAGGGAGCAATACGATGACATTGGACGGTATCGATTAGGGTCTAGTGCAGGGCCAGATTCTATACAATTGTCGACTATCGAGCCGTGCGGGCGCGTGCATGTTTGCTCACGCGACGCGTTGTTTCAAGATCCAAACTTGGACTAAGTGCCTGGCCTTCCTTCATGGTGGTTGCGCGCAACCCCTCGGTTCAGGCCATTCCCTGTACTTCAAGCGATACTCCGAACTCTGATCTTGGGAGTTCTCTACAAGCTTACGAGCCGACATGACGCTTAGATCGTCACTCTGTGTGGATGGGATGCTCGAGCCACACAGTCCTTGTCATGAAGCTCACAAAAAGCCGATATCACCACTGTTCCGCCAGAGAGCACGCTGAACGGGCGTGCGGTCGTTGCGCTGCCTGAGGGTCCAGTGCATCCTTGCTTCACTTCCTAACTACATTGATGCCTGAGTCCTTCTTTTCCATAAACTGCCGCATCTCCTCAAGATCGTCCATGTCGTCATCACTATCTTGATCCTTGGGCTTTGTAGGTGGTTTCGCGGCAGGCGGTGCTTGGGGAGGGTTTTGTGGTGGTGGGTCGCGCATCTCTTTGGTCTCGTCCTCCCATGCCTTCCTCTCTTCTTCATCGAGCTCGTCCCGCCTGTCCAGCCACCTCTCCTGCACATCCCGAGCATCCATTGTCGCTCCATTCTCGCGCATAGCCATCTGCCACACAGTGTCGTTCGCGCCCTCTATTCCACCCATCGCGAAGCCACCTGCACGATCGATGGCCCGCAGTAGCGTCATCATGCTCTTCTTATCTTCGACCGCCAGTGTCTCGAACCCTACCAGCGCAAAGTCCTCGACGAGTTCTACGATAGCCTTGTTCAGCGCGGAGAACTTCGAGGTCGGCTCGTCGTCGTCCGGATCCACGTCCTCGTTTGCGCCGGCTGTGGTGGGGCCCGGAATGCCGGACGTCTGTTCGCGGTTGAGGTGCGGCAGTAGGTATTGGAGATCTTGGACTTCGGTGTAGTAGTCAAGATTGAAGGGTAGATTGGGATAGTTGCGGAGGTTATCGATCTTGGTGAGAACGTTCAGGTGGGGCAGGTCCATCTGCAGCATGCTGCGCAGGGCGAGCAGGAGGGAGGAAACGTAAAGCGACGGTCGCGAGAGTATGATAGAGTCGGTCAGGTGTACGACGACGAGCTGGCGCATGTTAGCCTCCAGTTGCAAGCCATGGGCGGTGGGCGAATACTCGATACCCAAGTTTTTGTAGGCGGAAGAAGATGTTGCGCAGCGAGCCGTGGTGTGTGAAGAGCTCGACCTGTCCGGGACAGTCGAAGAGGATGTAGTCATCTAAGCCTGTTAGTAGACTCCCGAAGTGTAGAGTGTTGTCGCAAACCTCCTAGTTCCTTCAGGCTCTCTTCTAGCCAGTCGAAGTTGTGTTCCAGCTCCTCGAGTGCGAACAGAATCCCTCCATTTGGGCCCAGTGTCTCTTGCTCCATGATCTCGTCTATCGTGACCAGGTCGCGGACGTCTACGGCGGGCTGGTACGAGGTGTGGTCGTTGGCGGGGTCGAGGTTGACGACAGAGCACTTGCGCTCGATGGCACCCATAAACTGCTGCATGCCATCGCAGTATGTCGACTTTCCCGAGCCCGGTGGGCCTATGACGAGCTGTGCAAAGGGCATCGTGGTTGGTGTAAGCGTGACGAGGGAGTTGCTGGGGAACTTTTGGAGGGGCGTTAGCGCAGATCCCAAATGTTTGGCTTGCGGACTCCCGCGTCCTCGAGCTTCACTCCAGCGCGCAGCTTCCACCACGCGCAGCAGCACACATCGCCAACATGTCAAGTAAGTTGCTTACATCTCGTCACAGCAACTACATAGATATAGAGACTCAGACTAACCCAGTCAGGCCAATTCGAGCTTGCGCAAAACCCGACGGAGCCCATCTCGTCGGTCAAGTTCGCGACCAACAACCCAACACGCCTGCTCGTCTCCTCCTGGGACCGCCATGTCTACCTCTACGATACGCACGCTGAGCCCGGTGGCAAGCTGCTCCAGAAATTCGAACACCGCGCACCCGTGCTAGATGTCTGCTTCGGACGCGACGACAACGAGGCCTTTTCCTGCGGGCTCGACTGGGAGGTACGGAGGATCGACCTCGAGACGGGCGCGCAGACCATCATGTCTACACACTCCCAGGGTGTTCGCAATGTTCTCTACTCCGCCCCGCACAACCTCCTAATCTCCTCGTCATGGGACTCGACGCTGCACCTCCACGACCTGTCGCAACCCGGCGACTTCTCTGCCATCCGCCTGCCATCCAAGCCCTTCTCCCTCTCCGCCTCGCCCACCAAACTAGTCGTCGCCATGGCCAGCCGCGCAGTCAACATCTACGAGCTGGACAAGCTGGCAGAAGCCGCCAAGACAGGCGGCGGTGAGGAAGTGGGAGTGGAGCCATGGCAGCAGCGGGAGAGCTCTATGAAGTACATGACACGCGCCGTATCTTGTATGCCAAACGACGCAGGATACTCCAGCTCGAGCATCGAGGGGCGTGTAGCAGTCGAGTGGTTCGACCCATCTGAGGAGTCGCAGTCGCGCAAGTACGCGTTCAAGTGCCACCGACAAAATGTTGACGGCCAGGATATCGTCTACCCAGTTCACGCGCTCGCATACCATCCA